AGAGAGAGAGAGAGAGAGAGAGAGAGAGAGAGAGAGAGAGAGAGAGAGAGAGCAGAGACAGCGAGAGAGAGCGGAGTGAGAGCATGAGAGAGCGATGAGAGAGAGAGGAGAGCGGAGAGAGGGAGAGAAAGAGAGGAGAGAAAGAGAGAGAGAAAGAGAGAGAGAGAGGAGAGAAAGAGAGAGAGAAAGAGAGAGAAAGAGAGGTAGAGAGAGAGAGGGGAGAGAGAGAGAGAGAGAGAGAGAGAGACGCGAAATATCGAGAGATAGATAGATAGACAGATAGATAGAGAGAGAGAGAGATAGGGAGATAGATAGATAGATAGATAGATAGATAGATAGAGAGAGAGAGAGAGAGAGAGAGAGAGAGAGAGTGTTACATGTTGAGCCTGACACACGGGCCCATTTTTGGGCCCGACGGTTGTTGAGGGCCCCTAGGCCGCGCGCCTGTTCCAAGCACGCGACCTGGAGGCCCACGGCCATTGGACAGGCCGTAGGTACAGATTTGAGGCAGCCGTCATTTATTTATTTATTCCTTTACTTATGTGTGCTGTTTTATGTCTCTTCTAATTTTTTTTGTTTCAGGTGACGTTTCGGACTTGCAATTCGTCCGAACTGATCTACGTTCTGTTCGGACCAAGGCCACGTTTTTGGCCTCCTCCATTCGTAGCCAGGCCCTTTTAGGCCAGGTTCGCGTTGTCTGGTAGCAGACACTCCCTGCTGTATCAGCAGGGAGGACCTGGACGTCCGATAGGGACCCAGGCAGGCCGTTTTTAGGCCAAACCCAGGGACAAGACTTTTTCCTGCGACCTGGACCATGGATCGGACCTACGATCTCACGGCCCAGATCGCAGGTCGAAGGCACAGCACCTCGGCCCAGCACTACTTATAGCTGGGCCAGCTCGTGGGGACGACAGTTCGGGTCGCTCACTTTTGAGCGACATGCTGCTGGTTGGAGACTGCGCTACGATGCGTTAGGTAGAGGAGTAGGGAGTAGAACGCAGGGGAGATAGGGAGTGGCGGAGGCCATACCTCTGAGCGGCGAGCTTACCTGCGCCATAGCGGGATGCCACGCGGTACCTGCACGCAACAACGGATGACATCAGTGCGGTGACAGCTACCTGCAGGTGAGATAGCGAGGAGGGCTTCCTCTTCTCTCCCTCCTCTCTCTCTCTCTCTCTCTCTCTCTCCCTCTCTCTCTCCTCCCTCCTTCCTCCTTATCTCTTCTTCTTCGAATCTGAGGGTGTGAGAGGTTATCAGTAGGGATTCAGGCTGGGTTTGTAACGGGCGCACTGCCCAGGATCTCATTCGACATTTCTGAGACAGACATTGTTTGGACATTCGGCAAGAGACTATTTTGGACTTCGTCATTGCGATCTTGGTCTACTCTCTCGCCTCCTCCCTCTTTCGTCTGTCCCTTCCCCATCTCTCATCAGTGGTTTCTCCCCATGTGTGTGTACGAAGGAGGGACCTTCCTTCCATGACTGTGGTCCCTCCTCTCTCGCCCATGTGTGATGTGTGATGGATGTCGGGTCAGTCCACGTCAGATCAGATCTTCTCTTTGAAGTCTTCCGCTGTGCCATTTGCGCCATCTTGTATGTATCGNTGTGATGTGTGATGGATGTCGGGTCAGTCCACGTCAGATCAGATCTTCTCTTTGAAGTCTTCCGCTGTGCCATTTGCGCCATCTTGTATGTATCGGTGTACATTGCTTGTTGATCCTGCGCTGATTTGCACTGTCCATTTCAGTCCTTTTCATCACATTGTGGATCCTTGGTATACTGCGCATTGCTCCCCTGAGCATGCGTTTGTTTTGGTATCGGAGCTGTAGATGTGAATCAGGACGAACCTGATCTGACGCGCGCACGGGTAGCCTTGGACCCAACCGCCCAAATCAAATCGGGTGAAGTAACGATTGATCGATCAATCGATCCTGGATCGATTGGTTGATCCCGGATTGATTGATTGATTGATTGATTGATTAGGTCATACTAATTAGTCCCCAAATCGCGAAACTTGGACCCAACCGCCCAAATCAAATTTTTTTTTGCTGTTTTGGATTTGGTTTTCCCGCTATTTCTTTCTTTCATTAATAGCGGAACATCTGAAGGTTCGTTTTTCCTTTCTTGGAGCCCGAAACTTCGTTGCTGAAGCTCCAAAATATTGCAATTTTCCATTATTTATTCCGCGTTTTTTTTTTTTTTTTGATATTTCGATTTTTTATATTTTTTTTGCGAAAATTCAAAATTTCGCGGCAGGGAAGTCCGGATTTTTTTTTTTGAAATTTTCGATTTTATCCCGTTATGAAAAAATTCCCGACATTCCGAAAATCTTTTTCTGACATACGTTTTTTTACTTTTGAAATTCGTTTTTCCCCTTCTAAAATTCGTTTTTCACTTCTTGAAATTCGTTTTTCACTTTCTGAAATTGGTTTTCATTTCTGAAATTATTTCTGAATTCGTTGTTCAACTTCGAAAAATTTCTGAAATTTCGATTTTCAATTTCAAAAATTATTTCTGAAATCCGTTTTTCACTTCGAAATTATTTCTGAAATTTGAAATCATTTCTGGAATTCG